GTGAAACCCCATCTCTACCAAAAACACAAAAAATTAGCTGAGCATGGTGGCAGGTGCCTGTTAGTCCCAGCTACTCGCAAGGCTGAGGCAGGAGAATGGCCTGAACCCCAGAGGCGGAGCTTGCAGTGAGCCGAGATGGCGCCACTGCACTCCAGCCTGCGCGACAGAGCGAGACTTCATCTCGAAAAAGAAAAGAAAAAAGAAAAAAAAATTTTTAAGTGGCCTTTTCAGAATCTCTGCAGTAAGATAACACACTTGATCAGTAAGGACCTGGGTGCATGGATCTTCAAAAATGAGTTTCTATCTATTAAGGACTTGTGATACATCACACCTTCAGTCATTGCCAAAAACATATTCAGCCACAAAATCACTTCAGCCCACCCCTACCTGATTCATGACACCACAGTGGTAATATAGCTGGACTCTGGGATCCTGTCCCCAGAGAACAAAGCCATGGAGCACTTTGCCACTCCCCGCAACTTCCATATTTAATCATCCTCCAATAAGTAAGATCAGCTCACCCTGCGTCTGTGCTTCAGGAGTCTCTTTCTGGGCGACGTTTTCTCGTAATTTTTCCTGAATTTCTTCTAGGTCTTGGAGAATATCTCTGATTCTCCCTGCAGCTGTGTCGGAAATCAACAGCTTTGGAGAAGTCATGGAAAGATCCACCCCAGAAGAAAAAACCTATTGATGAATCATTTAAAACTGAATAAATGGAAGTCCCCTATGCAGTCTATCAACTATTATATTCAAGTTCTTTTATTCATCTATAATTTTCTATGTAATTCCCAGCAAGTTTTTAAAAACAAAATTAGGCCCTCAAAAAATATGCCTTGAAAACAATCTGGAATAATACATAACTACAGCAAAAATATCAAAGAGTGGTTATTTCTGGGTGATGGGGTTATGGAGCATTTTAATTTGCTTTATTTAATGCTATGTGTTTTCTAATATTTTGCACAATAAACATGGATTTCTTAGGTAATACCAAAAAAGTTTTAACATTTTTAGGCACATCTTTTTTTTTTTTTTTTTTTTTTTTGAGACGGAATCTCGCTCTGTCACCCAAGCTGGAGTGCAGTGGCCGGATCTCAGCTCACTGCAAGCTCCGCCTCCCAGGTTTATGCCATTCTCCTGCCTCAGCCT